ATATATATGCAATTTAACCAGGAACTGAAATGAGAAATTAAGGTTTTCATTGCTTATTCCATAATACTTTTCATAGTGAAAATCTATTTGGTGGAAAACATCCAGCAATATGTCTGCTGAAAGGCAATGTTTAACATTACCTAAAATCAAAATTTCACCTTGCCAGACTAGGTAAATTATGGTACCTTACTTCAAAGGATAGCTATATAATCATCAAAAAAATGCAAACCAGTATGCAAATGGATAGTAAAATGGTGTCCAGGTAACAATAAATGCAACCTGCAGATCTGTATGCATAAGATGATACCATTTGTGTGTTTAGATGTACACAAATCCTTGTAAAATTTCTGAAAGAGTATACAAAAGTGACTAACTTCAAGTTTTAAGTCAAATGAAGGAGTTGTTTACTTTTCATTTTATGCTCCTCCTAGACGGCTTGAATTTTATACAACACGTCTTTTTTTAAAAAATTAAAGAATCTCAACTTACACTTGAAATCATACACTTAGTAAAAATTTACTGAAAATTTATTTTGTATTCACTTACTGGTTCAGAGCTTACCTACTTTGTTGATCTTCTGGCTTAGCGACTGAATATACTTTATCTTCTCCAACTTTTTCAGATTCTTTTATTCGTATTCTAAAATTAAAATAATTTTATCTGAATGTTTTCAATTTACATTCTCAAAAAATGTATTAAATATGACATCATAGGAATGGTTATTTCACTCTAATGTTTATCTCCTCTATGCCTCATTGTGTTTTTATAAAAATAGTGACAAATATCAACAGTTGGTGCAGGAGAGGTATCACCTGTACCTTGAAAAGCCCAACAATTCTGTGACCAAATAAATTGTCACAAAGGACCTCTTTTTGTAATGTCAAGTATCTTACGAGCTCTTAAAAATGTTAGCCAACAATGGTGATGACGGAGCAAACATTCACGCTCATTTTAGACTGCTTAAAGTTAACTTGAAGACAAGAAACATCCATGGGACTGAAAGATCTTGCCAGCTTAAAATAATAAACTCTGATTTAGGGTATCCCATCATTATTACGTCCGTACATCTCAGTTCTGCCATTTAAATGTTGTGGGACCCTGGGTCAGTTTTTCCCAATGCCTCTCAGAACTGAGGTTTCACACTTGTAAAATGGGCATAATTACACCCACTCTGTTAAGTCTCAGGAGAACCTCTCACAACGAAGGGCCTCAAAATAAAAGCCTTCTCTTTCTCGAAGGTTAACGACAAATCCTCCCGAGCCTCCCTCCTAATGCACTTCCACCGCCCCGGCGCCCTTCGCCCCCCAACCACGCAAGGCAGACCAGTTCTGTGGAGTGCCGCTCTTCTCACCCTCCACCACAAAGGGCTGCTCCCTCACAGAGAAATGCAGTTCCATACCGGAGGGAGGAACACGAGATTCCCCAAACTCCCCACCTGGGACAAGAGAGAATAAACGCAGTACTCATGCCCACCATCTCCATCAGCAAGCCCCTGGACTCTCCTCCAAATACACCCAGTATACCAGCCTGTGCTACAGGGAAAGAACAGAGACCCAAAGTCGCATTCTCGGACCCAAAGGCACGCTCCTTAGACTCACCCCGGGGAGGAAGAGACAGAGCTACTCCACAGGCAGAAACAGCTCTACGGCCTCCACGCTAGGCGTCCCCGAGATGCTCTGCGTCCCCGCCCTCCTCCGCCCTGAGGGATTTCAGGTGCCCAGATGGGGCGGGGCCTCGCGGAGCCTCAGGGCGCAGGCGCAGTCTCCTGGCAACATTCAACTGCGTAGCATCCGCCAATGGGAAAGAGCGCGGGGCCCCTGTTCAAAAGTAAACTGCTCGCAGCGCCTGCGGAGGCAGAGACGTAATTGCGAGGGCCTGGCTCCAAACTCTGGGCCAGCTTCCTGCACCTGCGCAGTGGGCGCGGGCCCGCCTCTCAGAAGCTCCGGAGGCACGCGGTAGGAGGCGCTTTAGTGCGTGCGGGCGCTTCTAGCGGCCAAAGTCGTGGGCTGGGCTCCCTCTTGGGGCGGTGAGCTGTCCGCGGCTCCGGGAGAGGTGGGGCCTGGCGGTGGCTGACAGTTTCTACAAGAACGTTTCATAGGACTGTGTTTTACTTGGAGCCAATCCGGCACGTCCAGATTCTGGACTTTGACGCGCAGCGTCTCCCTTTGTTACCTCACAAGTGCCCGGTAGCGGGACGTCACCGACCCTGAGGGCACACGCACACCGGTGCGCAAATTCCGTCCCCCCGCCCTCCAGTCGGACCTGGACCCTAACTGAGTACCTGGCTGAGCCTAGGGGAGGGGTCTTCTGATTACCTACAGTTTTCTTAAAGAGAACTTACTCTGTGACAGCTAGTGGGACTACAGGACTCATCAAAGACCGTCTCCCTAGTCTCCCCCACCTCCTTTTCCAACTTCATGAAATTAATCGACTAAAGGTGACTGTTGCTCAGAATTCCTGATTTCTGATTCAATCTCTTCACCCTATTTCATCTTCTTAAGCCCCTAGACTCAAAAAACATACAGTTCAGTAGTCCTCTTCCCTTTTTTCTTGAGAAACTTTATCCAGCTGTAGCTCAAGACTCATCACAGCTTCCATCTCTTTAACTGTACTGAGAAGTCATTTACCGCTCTGCCAAATAAAACAGCCTTGGTATACTGTATATTGCCAATACATTCAGGTATTAGGCTCTCATACATTAAATTATAGAAAAATATTAAACATAACATAAAACAAGATAATAGCGTGAGTCCCAAATTTCAGATGTCTTCACCAATCCAGTTACTGAAAATTTTGCTTATGACGTATGGATTCTGCCAGTATCCCAAGATTCCCACCGTTACATGATGGTATATATTCACTTCAGCTTTATTATGCATATACATTTTCTATCTAAACACTGGTGTCATTGATAGATTTTTAGTTTTCTGTCAAAATAATATGGATATCTTTCCTTAGCAATAAATGCACTATACTTCTATAAAAATTATTCTCTTTAAAAGAACTGAACCGGTAATATTAACTATGGATTTGGGGTGATTATGATGAGTCAATGTAGATTCATCATTTGTAACAAATGTACTATTGTGGGATCTTGGAATGCAAAGTCCAAGAAAGAATTCTTGAAACATTGTGTGGTACAATTTAGTAAGTTTATTTAAGTAGCTGGGGGTCAGGACCCATGGGCAGAAAAATCTGCACTTTTGCTCTATGATGGTGGTGGTTATATGCTTAGTCCTCAAGGGGGAGGGGATGTACATAGAGTGTTAAATCATAAATGTTTTCTTTGAGGGGCGCCTGGATGGTTCAGTCGGTTAAGCGTCCGACTTCAGCTCAGGTCACGATCTCCCGGTCCGTGAGTTCGAGCCCCACGTTGGGCTCTGTGCTGACGGCTCAGAGCCTGGAGCCTGCTTCAGATTCTGTGTGTGTGTGTGTCTCTCTCTCTCTGCCCCTCCCCCACTCGCACAGTCTGTGTGTGTGTGTGTGTCTCTCAAAAATAAAGATTAAAAAAATTTTTTTAAATAAATGTTTTCTTTAAATTTCTACTCCTAAAACTACTTTCCCAAGATTTCTCTGGTACTTATCATTCAGCTCAATATTAACTAATGGTGAGATGTACAGGCAGTCATGAAACCCTTTAAGAATGTAGCAACCAGCATGTATTTGATCCTTATCAAAACTATGCAGGCTGTAGGTGAGCCTACTGGCCTAAAGGTGAACATTTTTCTGCTTCTATCCCTCATTTCTCCCCTTAACAATTTTGGTCCTTAAATCTTTAAGGTTGTTGAAGGGTGAAGGGCTCATCTTCTGAACTTCTTCAAGCTGACAGAAAAAGATGGTTGTAGAGATGTCCCTATAGACTGAAATTGGTCACTATCTGTTTCTACAAGTAGATTACAGAAGGCCACTGCTGTAGAGTCCACAGTGAACATCCGGGCAGTAGTAAGCTGTCAGCTGGGTGAAGGAGTCAGGAATTGCTTGCTTGTATCTTGACAATAGGACAGAACAAAGCAAATGAGACAATGCATTAGTATTAATATTATAATGAAAATAAGAGCAATGAGAAGACCATTTGGCATAGACCATAGTCCACTTCCTGACCAGGAATATAACCAGTCATTAAGTGGCAATGTAGAGTCTTCAGAAGGAATAGTTTGACTATTGATATCAGTAAGTAATCCTGTTATATTTTTGTTAAAATCTGGAACATAGACACAACATTCCACTTTAATAATGCCATTCATTCCTCCTTGTGCTGCTCTTAAGACATTTAATACCATTCTATTTTGTAGAATTGCTTTACATATTTGAGTTACTTTAGTGTTTAATAATGTAATGCTATTTTGAGAATCATTTGAGGCCTTAATTGTGTATTTATCAAGGGCCTCTGTGTGCCATCTTCTAAACCTACTGATGGAAGAAAAATAGATGTCAGATGCTCATACCAATGGAACATGGATCTTTTCCATCGTTGCTTTAAATATGGAAGATTAGCTGGACTTATGACAGTCCTAGTGCTATGGCCGTGCATCCGGGCATAACCTATAGTACATCTTCCAGTCCAGCCTGGTGGAAGCCAGGGCCACAAATTTGGGTCACATAACCACTGATATCCATTGTGTTTCATTAGGTGCAAGCTATCTGATGCCTGGTTGCCTTGTCTAATCAGTAGCAAACCAAAACATTGCCTATAAAATAATGGTATGGTCACAGACTTCTTGGAGGGAGACGTTCCATTCGGCAAGTACTATTGGACCATGAATCAGGGGTATGGTTTTTCTGTTCCCATCATAAAAGGACCTTTTGGCTTAGTTGTCCTATCATAGGAGTAAGCTACATATATCTATCCCATATTTGATATAATCCTTCCAGGGTGTATCAATAAGAAGGACTATGTAGTCAAGAAATTTGTTTCCATGAGCCTATTTGTGGGTTGGAATATTCAGTTAAAATTTTGAGAGTTTGAGGATAAGAGAAAGGCCTCCAATGGCTCAGAGAGTCCCATGTAACATTTATCATAGGCCAACAAGAAACATTCTTTTTAGTAATAGAAACATGCCTATATGTGCTGGTATGGGGGTGACTTCTTGGGTGTGGTTAAAGATGGCCACTGTATGCTTTGCAAGAGGCTCTGCTTGTAATTTTACATCAATAGAGGTGGCTCCTGGGACAAATAGGACTAAGGGATAAAACCATTAAGAAGCCTTCTTTGCCTGGTGTCTAGCCTTAATATCCTAATTACAAGGAATTGCTGGCAAGTGGGAGATGACTTGTCCCAGGAGATAAGGGCATCCCCAAGTGCATTCTCCAATCCAGTTATAAGGAAGGTGGGGGCCATCCATTATCTCCGCAAGTTCGTAGTTAACTCCATGGAGTGGGGTATGCTCTGACTTTTAAGGAGCAATTTTGTTATTCCAGCCACATAGAATTGATCAAGGTGATAGCTGAGTTACTCATTTGTTGGGGAGTCCATCCCATTGTCCAGCTGTTTAAATAGTCATATGCCCATGATGTCCCTTTTATTATCTCCATAGAGTAATAAGCAGAAAGATTATATATGAGTTATTATGGCCATCGGTCTGAAATTCTCCTCAAGTAGTCCAGCTTAGGCAAACAACAAACATTTAAAGAGAATTAATCAAACCTAGAATCTAACATCCATAAGGATGCATTATTGAAAGATGATATTTCTAAATTCACCCTTATTTCTAGAGAGGGGAAAATCAAGACTAATTCATTTGTAAAACAAGTCCAGTTATAACAAGGTTGGCCTGATTATTTACACAAGCTGAGCAACAATAGTGATTGATCACACAGATTCTTTAAAATCTGCTTTGCTAGGACTTTATATAAGGAATCCTTTTTTGTTATTATTATTTATTTATTTTGAGAGAGAGAGCTCATGGGTGGGGTAGCGGCAAAGAGATTGGGGGAGAGAGAGAATCCCAAGCAGGCTCCACACTGTCAGCAGGGAGCCTGATGGGGGGCTCAATCCCATGAACTGTGAGATCATGACCTGACTCAAAAACAAGAGTCAAACTTTTAACTGACTAAACCACCCAGGTGCCCCTATAAGGAATCTTTAGATTAAACTTTTAATAGCCTCTTGAGGCCAGAGCCAAGCTAAATATTTGCCATCAGACTTTCCTGCAATACCTATAGATTTGGGTGTATCCCTCTTCTCAAGGTCCTCAAAATATCCTGAGGTTTCTTGCACCAGGCAGGTAGTAACATTCTCTACTCACCTGTTAAGGTTGCTGGGAACTCTGTAAGCAAGGTATCAGGCTAACATTCTCAAGGAGCTTTATTGGCTCCATAAACTCAGCATTAATTCCTTAGAGCTGTCTGGTCATACCTCAGTCTCTGCATGTCTTTCTCAAATATGACATTCCAGTCAAAGCCTTGGTAATCTAACCAATGTTTCCAGTGGTGTACTATTACAAGAAGAATAGATGCTTATTCAATGTACAAAAATAATTATAATTGCCATGGAAGAAAGAATACTCAGTTTCTGAATTCTAGAAGGTTCAGGTAGGGAAAAAAAATTAAATGCTTCCATTTGTCCATAATGGAATATTTTATCATCTTTCTCAGTTCATTCAGTCCTATGTTATTAATTTTTGCTCAGTTTGAATGCAACTTTCCCATTA